GGGTGACGGCGCGCCTGGCGGCCGCGGCGGCAGCGTCTGTGTCTGGTTCGGAACCTGGGAAGGCAAGAGCGAGCAGCCCCCGAGGGCACGCGGGCGCCGGGCGAGCTCTGCCGCGCTGCCGCCGTCCCTCGCTGCGCCCGGGCCCCGCGCTCCCGCCTCCCGCGCACCCGCCCCACCTGTGCCTTGGCGCCCTCACTAGCCGCGCTCCACCCGACAGAGCCTAGGGCCGAACCAACAGGTCTGAGAGGCGCCCCAGTGCCAGACCCTAGCCCCGGGAAGACGAAAAGGTGCTGAGCCCAGCCCTGGTGACCTGGCCACGTTTGGGGAACAGAGAGAAGGGGCAGGGGTGGGGACGCACGGGCTTCTAGACTGAGAAAAAGCGCTTGTAGGGTAAAGAGGGCGGCCTTGTATTGCCCACAGACCGGAGTCCCAATCCGGACTTTATTCCTGACTGTGTGACCTTGAGCGCCCTACCTAACCTCACTGTGCCTTGGTCTCCTAATGCGCAACGTGGGAGAATGACGCCTCCTCTCCCAGGTGGCAAAGGGTTCTGTGAACCCATCTGGGAAGAGGTGCGACATAGACAGTGTCTCCTACGAACTGTGTCTTTCTCCCAAGCCCCTCCCTCAACACCCCTATGGAGACTAGGGCTTAACGGGACCACTTAGGACACTGTCCTTTCCCCACGACCACCCCCAATCCTTGACCGATTTTTCCTTTGGGGAATGATTTTGGATGAACCCAGAAGATGGGGTTGGGGGAGCCCCCCGAGAGTTGGAAGCCTCCTCTCTGTACAGAGCACTTTCACAGTCTTTCTCTTTTTTAACCTTGAGATGGATGGACCAATATCTCAGTGTTTAACAGAAGAGGAAAGGAGGCTTGAGTAGGTAGCCCCGAGCCCAAGCCGGAAAAACACGATGGGAAAAGAGTGGTGAGGGGGAAGGGTGTTCTGAGCTCGTCGCACGCCTCCCAGCTGGCAGGCTTCAGTGGCATCTCTCTGCAGGTGCCAGGCGCAGCGGAAGGCGGCTGGGAGAGAACTGCGGGAGGCAGCAGCATGCTGCACAGACCCACCCGAGACCCGCTGGCCCAGACACTTGCAGTGCAGGGAGGCCTAGGAACAGGGGGACTGGACTTCCTCATCCCCACCCTGCCTCTCTCCACCCAGACCCACATACATCCTTCCCCCTGCCCCCCACCTGTACCCTAGGCCAACTTCTAGTCCCCCACCTCCTTCAGTGCTTTCTGCCGCTGGAGATGGCAAGGCCATCTGTCCAGGTGCCTAAGCCTGAAACTGGAGAGTCATACTCACTTCCCGTCTCTCCTCATCTCCTAGGAGCTGGGCCACTCCTCTCCACCACTGACATCCCTATCCAGGCCTCTGTCTTCTCCAGCCTGCATTATGGTGACACTATCCTATCTTCCAGGCTCTGCCCTGATCCTCTGTCCTCCCTCCACTCGACAGCAGGCAGAGCGATCTTGCTCAAATGTGACTACGATCATGCCACTCCTCAGCGGAAGCCCCTCAGGAGCTCCCGCAAGCCCAGTCCTTGGCCAGGTACACGAGGTCTTTTAACCATCCTACCCTTGCCTTTGCCCACAGCTCCTACTGCTCCTGGCACTCCTCCACATGCAGCCTGGACTCAAGCCACCACCACCACCACCACCACCAAAAAAGAACGTGCACAGTAATTCCCCAGAGGGGTCGTGTGGTGATTCCTCAACCTGGAATGGCCTTTATCCCACCCTGTCCTCCTGGAGAACACCAACTCATAATGGCAGGACAAAACTTGGATTTGGGAGACAGGGGTTTGAATTCCAGTTATTCATTCTTTTATTTGGCAAATATGAAGGTATTTCAAAAAGTTGGTGGAAAAATAGAATTAAAAATAGTATGAATCTTCCCATGAACTTTTTGAAGTACCCTTGCATTTATCGCACACCTATGTCTAGATGCTTTATATATATATATACATAATATATATATATATATATATATATATATATATACACACACACAGTCCCTTCCCTCTAAGAACTTGCAGTCAAGTGTTAGAGACATACTTCAACCCAGGAATCATCCAAAGAAATGTACAGTTACAACCAGATAAGTGCATAGCGTGTACAACAGGGGGGAATTGACCAAGAACAGGGAAGGCTTCCCTGGAGAAGTTTCCCTTTGGGTTGAAATCACAGCTAAGTAGGCAAAGGGGAAGTCAAAGAGAAGGAAAGAGTATGGAGGCAGGAAGAACAGGCAATTACTAGCTTTGGGATCTTGGGCAGTTTACTTGATCTCTCTGAGCCTCAGTTTCCTCACCTAGAAAATGGGTTAATAATAGTAGTTTAAAAGATGAGTGTGGTGAGGCCAAAATAATTAATGCCCAAGTGTTCTGAGCCTCCCTTCTTCCTGTGGCTGTGCCTGTGAATTTCCTAGCCCTGGGCTGCTCTCCGAGGAGGATTCTGCCCTGACTTTTGTCATGGAGAGTCAGAGAGTAGATGTATTATTGGAGCTGGGAAGCCGGAGAAGGAAGGAATGGTCCCAGGAAGAAGAGACTGTGTTTGATTTCACAACAAAGAGCAGGCGGAGTGAAGTGGGGAGAAAGACCAAAAACTGGGGGTGGATTTTCCCAGGTAAGATTGTGTGAAAGGTGGGGTATGGTCTAAAGCAGATAGGAAATGAAAAGGGAATTTTATTCTTTTTTTTTTTTAATTTTTTTTTGTAGGTCACCAGCTTTGTGTTTTTATTTTTATTTATTTATTTTTATTTGTTTTTTATTGAATCATAATTGGTTATACATATTTTTGGGATTCAATGCTGACATATGTTGATCAAATCAATATTACTAGTATGTGTATTGTTACAAATTGTATTTATTCTTTATGCCCCTTGTCCAGTCTCTCCCCATCCCCCTCCCCTCTGCCCTCCCACCACTGATAACCCTAGATTTCTTCTCTCATTTTGAATGAGTAATGGTTACTCTGTTGATTTGTTGCCTAGATGATCTGTCCAATGCTGAGAGGTGTGTTCAGGTCCCCCAATATTATCATAGAGCAGATGCTTCTTCTGTCACTCTGAAATAGGCTTTGTGGAGAGAGACATCCTCTTCTTTTCTTTGATCTCTGCTGGGACTCTCCTGTGTCAATGCACTCCAGTGGCTAGTGGACCATCTGCATGGTGGTTGTGACATCTAGCTGCTTTCACGGCCTTGGCACTGGTGGTGTGCATGGTTGTGGGCAGGGGGGTCCGGTCCCCGGCTCAATGTCCTGGGCCTCTGGGTGGGACCCCAAGACACTTTGGTGTGCCTGTTTGTGGGTGGGGGTTCCAGTCCTGAGATCCATGCCCCAGACCCCTGGGCAGGGCCCCCAGGCACTGGCAGTGTCCCTGAGAGTGGGTGAGGGTGTCCAGTCCCCAGTTCATTGCCTCAGGCCCCCAGGCAGGGCCCTGAGGTGCTGGTGGTGTGCCTGGTTGTCGGAGTGGGGTCCAGTCCCCAGCTTCAAGCCTCAGGTTGGAAAAGGGAATTTTAGCACCGAGGGTTGCGATCCCGTAGCCGGTCCCGGTCCGGTGTGGGCGCAACACTGAGAGTTGTGATCCATTGCCGGTCATGAAAAAAAAGACAAAAAAAAAAAAAGGAAAAGGGAATTTTAGAGGAGTCCCATTGCCTTCACAGAACTTAAGATCATAAGTAAAGAAACTGAGTGTGGAAGTTACCTTTTGGCTCTTGAACGTAACACTATTTAGACACTGAGCCACATGGATCATGGCTATGTGAGTTGTACATGGAACTTCACATAAGAACTTTCCTTCCTTTTAGATCTAAGGCTATCACCTCTCCAGGAAGCCTTCTCAACTCTTCTGGACTGTACAGGGGTCCTATGCTCCAGTAGAGCCCTGGGTTGGCTTATATTGCAGCAATTATGACACTGTATGAACCGTATCATTCATCCACATGGCTGGCTGGCCCTCTAGACTCTCAGCTTCTTTTTTTTTTTTTTTTCCTTTTTGTCTTTTTTTGTGACCGGCAACAGGATCGCAACCCTCGGTGTTGCGCCCGCACCTCACTCAGCCAGTGAGCGGCCGGTCTGTATGTGGGATCCGAACCCTCGGTGGGAGCGCCGCCGCGCTCCCAAGCGGCGCACTGTAGCAGTGCGCCACCGGGCCGGCCCGACTCTCAGCTTCTTAATCAAGGAAGTCTGTCTCATTCACGTCTGAATTCCCCAAGTCAACACAATGAGTAGGCTCTTGACAAATATTTGTTGGTAGATGAGTAAAAAAAAGGGGGACTCTGTGCCCAACACAGTGAAATAAATGGGCAGATTGTTTCTCCAAACAATCGAGAAAGGCACACACAATTCTTCCAGGGCTTATATTCTAGAGGGAAGATAAATTATAAACAATTTTGAAAATATGATTATGTCATCTAGCGATAAGTGCTATGAAGAAAATCAAACAGAACAATGAAATAAAATAGCTCGGCTGGAGGGACAAGGGGCTTCAAAATGAGGGTCAAGGAAGCCTCTTTGTGATCAGAAAGATGAGAAGGATTTAATCAGGCAAATGTAGGAGGT